ATTGGGCCCACCTCTGTTTCTGTAATAACGACAGCTATAAAACAACACAAGCACTTCCAGAGACATACATGAACTGCTTTTACGGTCAGGACTTCACTTGACAATAGCCAAATATTCCTTAACTCCGAGCCAACCACAACTAATAAGCTAGAATTCAAAGCATACACTGAGACTCAAGGTTTCACAAGACATTTTTCCACTTCTAAAAACAAAGGTACCGAGTTGAAATGTATCTAATAACTTTTGCCATTTCCCCAGAAGCAGCACAGCATTACATCAACAGAATTACTGCATGTACAGAGGTGTATGAACACTCAAGTTTAAGGGTGCACAGAGCCAATATGTACTAAAAGTTCCATTCAGTAAGCTCTACAAAGGTATTTCCTTCTCAACTCTGAAATACAGGAGACAGCAAGAGGATTAATAGTATTAGCGTTACAGGTACTTGCCACCCTCCTGCATTCAAAACAGGCAGCATTAATGCTAATCTTTCTTACAGTAAAAGCAGCAAATGAGTTTCAAGTGTTTCTCAGAACACTGCTCTGAATTTATCGCTCGTTGCCTGCAGCACTGACAAGCGCAGGTTTACGCAGCAGGGCAAGAATGGTGTACAACTTGGCGACAAAGAAAACTCCCTTTAAAAATTTGCACACATCAGGAAAATGATTCAGAGAACAGCTGTTCCACAAAGCCCTATGAAAAACACTCATCCAGAGTCATTACTCTGCTTTGGAAGGAGTCTCTTCTGGAAGAAGAAACTGCAAATGAGACCCCGACACTTGTGGCTGCTGATTAAAGACCACCACAGATAAAGCTATCACAATCCTTGGCCGCTAGCCCCATGCATCCGCAAAAAAAGCCTGCCCTCCTCCAAACAGGGGGTCTGATTCATTTGCTCACTGACTCCTTAGTCATTAAATTTTCAGGCTAGGTTATTACAACTAGTGACCAAAAAATGTCAACAATTTAATCCTGTGACTGCATCCTTACTCCCGTACAACCTTCATACAGGTACGTTTTAGTATGTTCTTTGTGAAAACTTCCTGATTTCACTCTAGCTACCATTTCACAAGGCAAATACCTTAAAAAAAAAAATCTTTCCAACTGGGTCTTCCCAGATTGATTTTCCAAAATAGGAGCATGATTTTGCTAACTGATCTTCTGGTAGGAACCTCCAGCTTGACCTTTGAGCTAGTGTGTACCTGCGTACACACAGCCATCCTGAGCAAACAGAACCAAACCCCAGACATTTATTTACAGAACTGGGTATCACTACCCAAACTACACACACCAGATGCTGTCCAAGGAAAGGGCAAACTAAACTTTTCCGAGACAAAGTTCCCCTTCCTCACTATACTCACCAAAAAGAAGAGATGCTTAAGAAGAAATACATCACTAATGTTACCTGTAGAAGAGCCAGAGGAGGAAAAACTACAACTAATTTCAATAACCACTTTTTTGCATCACCCTTCAGGTCCCCCCATGAGCAATATTAATTAATGGGATCCTTAAAAAACAAGGCAAGGAGGTGGCTATGGTTTCCTCATTTGTAACAGCAACATCTAAGTAGGTCCTTCTGCCACATGAAAACGTGTTAGGTCACACTGATAGCAGTACTTGCTTGGAGAAGACATTTTGGGACAACCCTTAAGGATTTCTCCCTTGTAACTACTATGAGGGGTTGAAAGAAAGAAGAAACTCACTTAAATCTGCCTAATTCAAGCGACCAAATAATCAAACTTGAAGGGCTTTATTTCTCTAGGAAAATGTGTCACTTGATGGGAACAACTTTGCATAAAGAATACTTTCATGTTTTCCTAAGAGATGATCTGCATAGTCTTGTAAGGGCAACTATGCTGAAGGCCAGTGTCAGTGAAGAACCAAACTCACGGATATGAAAAGGTGTGGTTTTTTTTTTTTAAAAAAGCTACATCAGGACCGAAGTCTTGATGTCTGTATCAAATTTATTCCACCCTGACTTCCTACAGCTTTAAAAAAAACAAACCAGAACCTTGTAGCTTTGGCTTTAAAGACCCCAGTCATCATAAATGAGTCCTTCTCTGACAAGTAATGATGCTTTCTTTTGCAATACCCTATTTACAAGTTAACTTAAACTACTGTAGTGCAAAGATTATGCAGTGTTAAATCCATACAAAAAGTCACCTTATCATATAAGGTAAAGGCAAATATAGTGTGTTTGTCTTGCCTAATCTAAAAAGCCATCTCTGCTACTGCCTGCAAGCATAAGGGTGAGGTTTGAAGGCTTCTCACATACAGCTTGTATATTTACAACACTTGCATGCACTGTGCTGTGAAACATTTTCAGGTGGCCATTTTCAGATCAAGTGGGTCTCTTTTCTGTTTGTACTTCAGTACTTCTGTAATGCTCACACCTAACGCTTTCCTGGAACATCACCAGTACCTTTGAAGATCTGCATGTAATTAAATTCAAACGCTCCCTGTAACCGTTAGTCAATAACCGGCTTATTTTGAAAGAAAATGTATACTTCACTGCTCAGAATTTTTAATTAGCTTTTAAATCAGGTAGCGTGGCATACACCAATGTAAAGAAATAACTTAATTTTGACTCCTAGCTTTAAAGACACAGAAGCAGGAAAAACCCTTGGCAAAGCCACAAGAAACCTTCACTTTGGATTAACCTCTCTGGCCACAGGGTGCCTCTGCTGCTCAACAAATACTCCGAAGCTGAGCAAATAGTTTCTGCCGGTTGATTAACCGGCTGTAATCCATAAACTGTACTCGTGCGCAAGGAAATCGATCTGCTCAGGATAAAGTTAGGTCAATATTTGATCATCCTGAAGTGCTCTCGTTAGCGGGGATTGTCAGTCCTGCAGAAGCAACGTTCACCTCACTCACACAAATCATTCGTTTACGTTATGCCACCAAAAAAACCTGAGCCAGGCTGTCAGGCTTTGTGTGCAGCCCTGGCACAGAGGACAATGAGTTTTGACAGGATTTCTATAACACAAATCAAGCCTGATGCGACGCACTGCTCGGCACCTGGCATTCCTAAACTTCCACTTCCTCCTTGCCACGGCTCCTCAGTCTAGTGTGTCTTTTGGGTTCAGCCTCACAGGTAGTCATCAAAGGTGCACGTATAAAAGTTTGGGAAGAGCGCAGTCCGTTAGAAAACTGTCACCAAAAGCAATTCATCATCTGACTGAAGTTGGAGAATATACAGGTAATGAAATCAAGTGATAAGGGAGCACAACAGCACTAAAATTTTAAGTACTAGAGGGCTGCAGCATTTTGACTGGTAGCACTAAAAACGCTAAGTTCAATCTCAATGGAAACAATGCCTCGATCGGAATATTCCCCCAGTATAGCACTGTTGGTATCTACAGTCGTACCATATAAGCTCTACTTGAACTAGTTAACAAAGCGTCAGCAAAGGTAGCACATCGTAAAGCCTAGCAGTGACGTAAGACTTTCCATGTCACTGGAAAAAAAAAAAGCAATGTTTCAAAGAAACAATTTAATCTGATTTCATTTACTGCACTGAGTGGATTCTTCCACAGACATCAGATTTGCTGTCCACTGAAGTATACAATGTCTAAACAGTCTCAAGTTACAAGTTACTTAAAAGCACTGTATTTGGATAGTCCTCCCTGAAGACGAAGCAAAGCTCAGCCTCTAATTGTTCCTAAGTGATTAAACGCTAGTATGAGTTTTAAAATTTATTTCTAAAGTAGCAAAACTACAAAAGTCACACAAAGAGGCAATACAATGCAATCAAAGCAAGCAGACACTCGAGCTCTAAAAAAGACACTTGACTAACTCTTTATTTCAAGAGTCCAAATCATCTTTGCAGACACAAGACTTCCACCAAATTGAACAGGAGTCGTGTAGCCACAGTGGGTGCAGCAATGATACCCTTCTGGCATGAACATTTCTGGACATAAAGTTTTGCAATCTCATATAAATATTTACATCTGCCAGTTTGTACTGAATGCTCACTGACACCGAATGCATAAAGCTTCTAGTGCTGGGTACACATAACCTTCATCCCACTTCGTAGTGCAACACCAAGCTCTTACCTTATTTATAAAGAAGGCTTTCAGCAAGGAAGTATGTATTTTCTATACATATGCATCAGCTTGCTTTCAAAGAGATTTATGATAAAATGGCCTCCCTCATATTCAGATCTCAGTCTAAAATGCATTTAAAAGTGAACGAGCTGCACTACATAGGAAGGAGACAAGCTGTTCAGAGCGATCCTCTTCACATTTACACACTGACAAACGCACAGAGAAGCAGAGGTGCATGTAAACGAAGACAATCTGTTTCAGAAATCCTACACCCAACCCGGAGTCAGGCTGTGGACGTCGGGTGTGCATGTGGTGGAAGACCCAGTTTTGCTGGGCTCTGCGAGGATCTGCTAAGAGCACAGAGTAAAACCAGAAAAAAACCCTGAAAAGGGGCCTGTGCAGACAACGACTGCGCTCCAGTTTTCCAGCAGTTTCTCTGAGGTTTCCACTTGCCTGTCAGGCCTTAAGTGGAAGGCTCCAGAGAACAGAAGATAGGTATTTAGGTTTAGACCAGGTATCAGATGCAAATAGACGCTACTATCAGACCAGTTCTAGGATGAGGAGACATAATTTGTAACACACGCTCCCCTTCACACAACACACTGCGATTACAAGACTCAAGACACATAGATTAATATTACCTCAACGCGCGCCGGTGTCCTGCCGCCAAGTTACTCAGCTGCTGAGGATGGAGGTGTAGGATAAAGCAATATATCATGACTAGCTACAAATGAGCAAAGAACAACCTCCCCCCCTTTCTCACGAAACTCAAAATAAAAGTCATCATCTTTAATTCCAGACAACCCACAAATCTCATTTTTCCCCTACTGGCAAAAACAATCACTACATGATTGGGGATTTTTTTGTCTTTTTTTTTTTCTTTCTTTCCCCCCACCTTTTCATCTTACATTTGCTAACTCAAAATCCAAAGTCAGAAAAAATATATATATATTTAGTCGGAAGTACATCAGTTACATTTTATTAACCTACTCCAAGGGAAAAGCTTCAGGGATTCACCATACAAGTATAAAACCCCGTTCAAACACCTAGGGGTTACTATATTACGTCATCCCAGCAGTCAATCAATGCAGTAAAAAAATTAAAATACTGAAAATGGATGCTTTTCCCCTCTTCCACATGTCCAGTGATTGCTCCATTACAGCGTGATGAGGTCCACCAGGTTGCCTTTAGGAGGGGTCATGTTGTCTGGAAAGAAGTTGACTAGTGTATCGAACAGCTGAGTTCTCTGCGCGTACGTGTGGTCAACATCTGAAAATCCTGGGGAAGGAAGAAAAGGGGAAAGCAAGTCAATGCTCACTACTTTACATGCTGCATGAGTATGCCAGTTGTCCATTTTGGATGGATGTTAACTCTTTGCTACTTCTCCCTCAACTAACAAGGCTGCCAGCTTTCTGTCCTGCTACTATGTGCCTATACACACAGATCACGTCACCCCAAGTCAACACTGCAATCAAAATGCCATAAAAAGTAATAAACAAACGGCTGTCAAGCTCATTGACAGTCCTGAAGAAATGGGGGAAGCAGAAGTCCTCAAGGGACTACTCTGATGTCCCAGAAAACAAAATCTGTGTAGCTATTTTTATTTGGTGCCTCATTTCTTCTGTCCTCAGGCTTTCCTCATTATCTTCACTACTGTCTTAACCAGAACGGGTACTTGTATTGCTTGCACTTTTTCCTAAGACAAGCTCTGCTGACGGTAGGAGTCCCAAGTCAGAGTTGCTATTTAATCACTGGACTTGCACCGAGGACCCAGGCTGCCTCTTGGCACAAGGGTCCTCTGCAAACTAGTTTTGTGAAGTGCCGCGTCCCAACGGGGAGGGTTTAGTCTGCTGCAGAAGCATTGTTTATCCAAATCCCCATACTTAAACCATCAACAGCAAGAACAATAGAGCGGGCATACAACGATTTCCTCTGCTTTGTATTACTTCAAACACTGGTATCTCAAAGGAATGCTTTTTAATTCAGTGAACTCACTCTCTAGTTAATCAAAGTCAACCAAGTTAATCAAATCAAGGAGGACTTGCGTTTTTTGTTTTCTTCTGGAAGCACCACTTGATGTATCTATCCTCCTATCTGTAAAGCCAACCTCTGAATAAAGTATTGTATTGTGTCAGGAACTAATTAATCTTTTAGAACATTTAAAACTGAGAAAAAACAACTTTCTGAAACTCAGGTTTTCTTCCTTTAAAAAATTCATCTTACAGCATCAACTAGATAACGTCTTCCAAACTGCACAAGCTCAGCAGAGCTTCCTTACCCAGCAGGGCTGAGAGGGAAGGGGAAAAAACCCAACCCTGCACTCAATTTCTTAGATTGGGAATTACACGACTGTCAAAAACTGAAGTTACCCATGCTCCTAGCAAGAGCTCGGTAACTTGAGGTCAACACATTATTACATGAATGTTAAGTTCTGCCTACAGCCTTCCTATAGCTTGCTCAGGATTCATCTCTCAACTGTTTAAGAGAGTTAACTGGATAGAATAGTTAAACAAATTATGGCTTTGGCTCAGACCTCCTGTTTCCAGCCCTACACGCCACTGTTTTCTTCGCTCCTGACATTCTGCCCGAAGAACTAGTTTTGCAAAGAACAGAGCGAACCAAACTACTCCAGGAATTGCAGTTATCACAGCAAACAGAGCCGTAGCCATGCTGTGAGATTCCAAAGTGACATGACAGGAGGTGCTGTATTCTGACCAAAGCTTCTGTTTATTTGGATAACAGTGAAGCATCAGATGTAATAAGAGACAGAAAATGATTCCGGGAGGCATGGGTTTAAAACCACTGGTGACAGATGTTTTAAATATGGGCTCGAGGCATTAGACACTGGTCATTAGAAATAATCTCTCAAAAGTCTAAGTAGTGGCACTTCACATATTCAAACCAAAAAGGGCTTACAATATTCACATGAACTATAACATTTGATATTAAAAAACCCAGCAGAAACTAACAGTAACGATCTTTATCAGAGGGAACATACTCAGTATAATTCTTCCGACACACAATACTCACCAAGAGTGGTGAAATCCGAGCCAGACTTAAATAGTGCTGAGGCAAGAAGCTGAAACTGCAGAAAAGGAGGCAGAGGAACAAAGAAAGAAAAAAAAGTGTTATTAACTGCACAGGAGAAAAAACCCAGAAGATTCACAGAAGTTCAAGTGGCGTTAGAGTTGCTGGGTTTTCTTTCCACAATCCTTAGAACTACTGTGCCATATGTATGAGTAACAGCAGCAGACACTTTCATATAAGCAACACAATTTATTACCTTGGCTGAGCAAGTTGGATGGTTTTTCCTAGAATTAGAGCAGCATTGATGCAATGAAAGGTACTTGACAGGGAGCCCTAAACCCTATTTTTTATATATACTTTTTTGCCCCTCTAGCAGATATCACAGCACAGAAGTAAGGTCTATAGCCTCTTCCACACAACAACATTCCCAGGGATGAACGTGGAACAGTCTCAGCAAGCAAGGATTAGATGGCACGAAAACAAGGTAACTGCTATAGTGCAGCATAAATTTCTTGAACACTGAGAAAGCTTTAAATGGCAACAACCTTTCTGAACTGCCAGAGAGTTTAAGGCAATGTCTTTTTAACTACAGGGAAAAAAAAAAAAAAGTTCTTTGCTGGGGAACATCAGAATCATGAGTAAAAACGTTTTAAGTAACACATTCACAGTCTTGTTCTCCCTTAATGTCTTACTGATAGACAATGAACACAGTATCTTCCTCTGCCCCCGGCTGCTGTTTTCAGTTCCCCACGTTTTAGCAAAGCTTACTGCTTTGTCACGTTTTCTTATAAAAATTAGCCAATCCCTTAAAGGCTTGTAATTTTTTGTCTCCGGTCTGCGTATCTTTACAGCACACATCCTGAAGGAAAGAAGGGGTAGGGGGGAAACAGACGAGAAGCAAATATGTTCAGGGAAGCAGTGAGAAGAACAGCCAGGATTTACATATCCATCAGTTTAATTTCAATTTCAATAAAAAATATGGGAACACAGACAATTTGCAGGCATCTAGGAGTGGAGGTGACGAGTAGCAGCCAATGTGGATTTGGCAACCACAAGTTGTATCACATAAATCTGATTTCTTTTACAACAGGGCAGCAGGCCCTATGGATGGGACTTGGCAATAGACCTTGTCTATTTTGACTTTCATAGGACTTGTGATGCTTTTATATGATATTTAAGGCAAATTACTGAGACATCACCTAGGTTAAGCTAACACAGAATGGCAAATAAGTCAAATAACTTTACTGTGGGTAGCCTTCAATGGTTTGACATCAAAATGGAGCCATGAATCAGCAGTGATTCATCTGTGCCCCAGGGTCAGCATCATTCTGGGTTTTCAGCGATAACCTGCTTGACAGAACAGGAGATGTTCACCGACTCCCAGACCTTACACCACGCTCAGACAGACTGCCAGCATGGTAGCAGACAAGCTTCAGACTTTTTGCATTTCATCCAGCTTATAATGATGGATCAAGGTGCAATTCACTAGGGCCAAGTGCAAATCGACATAAACACAAAAAATCTGCCATGCAAAACAGGACAGGGTACATGGGCTATGTGAAAACACATTTAGGAGTTACAGTAGAGCAGCATCAACCTATTGCAAATATTCTAAGTGCATAGCAAATACATGAAAATGAGTAGATCTTCAAATAAATCAAGTACTCTTGCTGTTATCAAGGCTCGAAAGTCTTATCTACAATATGGCATAAGGCTTTGGTTTGGGCATCCAACTATTATCCAACTACTATCAAATAGTAACATATGAGGAAAGCAGTAGAAAAAAAATTAAGTGGTTTGAAAATCAAGCTGTATAAAAGAAGTTCAAAGCAGTCAGGGTTGCAGAGCCTCCACAGAAGAATGCCCAAGGATGAAACTGCAAAAAAGTCACAAATGTAAAGGGCGCTATAAGAAGGTAAATCCACAACTAAGTGCAAGAAGCCACAAAAATACCTCAGCAAGATCAATTTCAACATGACATCAAGGAAAAAAAAAAAATAAGGGACTTAGTGTGCTGTAGTAAATTTGCAGTCTTTTGGGGGTGCTATCATGGGAAGCTAGCACTGGAGGTCTTTAAGACCAGGTTAGAAAGCTACAGAACTGGCAGACTACAGAACAAGGGCAAGATGTTGATTAAGTACCCTCTTGAGTGAGAGGTCTGGTTGTATGAAATCAAAAGGGACTGCAATGCTACACGTGTATTTCACTGCTAGCGTAACTTGTAAGAGTTGCTTGGCTCCGAATCAGCAACGTACTTAAACAGATGCCCAGCATAAATAGCTCCAAAAGTTCCAATAAAATGGGTGGCTAAATCTGTGCTGCTTCTGATAGCAAGTGCCACGTCCTGGCCATCTTCCGCTCACACACAATTGCCTTATGGGCCTGCTGCCAACAGCCTGGTAGCGCATGAAGCCGGCTATGCCGGGACAAAGCTGATGCCACATGCTTGGAGGGGTTCCCTTGCCTCCCCCAGCAACACCGGCAGCCATCCTGCTCTAAACAGAAAGCAAGTTGTGCTTGAAGCTGGGTCTCAGGACGCCCAACTATGAGACTGTATAAGCAGGATCCAGCTAGTAACTCACTGAACTGAGATGAAAAATCCATTCAAAAGACCCTCTGCCAAATACTCCAGCCTCACCTGCTCTAGGCATGATGGATTTTCAGGGCTATGAGTTTCCTTCCAGCTCTGTGAGGAAGGAGTATCTTGTCTCCTCCTTCACCGATGACACTGCACTTCAGTTAACCTTGAGGCTTGTTGTTTGTTTGCTTTGAAATTATATTTTATGTATCATCTCACATTTAAAAAGCACTTTGACAGAAAAGTCAAGCACATAAGTTAAGAACATCAGTTACAGACAGCACTGAGCCTAAGCTGGTTCACTCTGCGTTTGCATTACAATGCCAGCTAGACATATGATGTTCTCCTGACAGACTTGAATACTTCTTTTCCAGTGCATAGGGTTGTTACTGCTTATTCAAGACCACGTCTCCTACACACCGTTCACAGCTTATATCCAATGCAGTATTTTCTTCATGAAGTTCAAACTCTGCTTGAAAGAAGGAATTAATTTATTCACCAGTTTTCCTATCATATTAATTGTTACTGTAACACATAGAACTTCAAATTCTGATTAATTTTGGGTCCCCTATTTGAAACTACCAGAATCTGATTTTTCAAAATACTTTATTACACATCTTCTTCTGAATTCACTTGCAGGCAGAAGAGCAAAGCCCTCAAGCAAATCACACCTCAGATCTCTCCCATCAGACATCACAATGAAAGACCCAATTAATGACCATCTAGGAAAATGATTTCCTTAACATCACATAGCAACTCTGTTGCAGAGGCAAGACCAGAATTCAATTATCCAGCAAAAGCACCCAACTTGCTTTAATTACAACATCACCCATTTTCTTCTGACAATCCCTTTGGCTCACTGGCTCCATCCATTCCAAATTAAACCTTCATTCAGAAGGCAACAGTTCCCTTCATTACACAATTCACTTCTCTCTTGGAGATACAACGCACCTTCTGAACTGAGGCAGGGGTTCCTTAGAGATAAATGCATCTGGTTAACATAAGGTTATATTAGGTATATGTCTGGCTTATTAGTTATATATATAAGGCTAACTAATATCATCAACCACATTCAGAGAGGCACTAAATTAAGACTACGTGGGTAATATTAATCCTGGCATTTTCCAACTTAGGACCTTCATGTTTCCAACATTGTTTTTCTTTTATCAGTTGAGTGTACTTCATCTAGGTTTCCACCTACAGCAAAAAAACAATTCTGCCATGTGGCAACCCATGCAAATTTAGGGTATTTGCTGCACACCTCTGCCCTTTGTGCAAATGAAATGGTTAACGCTAAGGGAGAATGAATAACAGCCGTTTCGGATAGCCGGCAGGTTGGATGAATCAGACATCATTCCTCCTCTGTAATGTCTGTACGGTGAGTGCTCAGATCACAGCGTAAAACAGTTTCTCAGCTCTGACCAGTTCTGTTGGGATGGTGCCTCGTAGTGTAGCCTCAAAGAGGCAACGAGAGGCTCAAATCCTTTGAGGACAGAGCCTTCACTAGCTGAAGTTGGGATGGCTGAACACTGTTTTTGTAAAGGCTCCTTGGCTCCAAAGCCTCTGTTCCTGCAGCACTCAGACTTTGAGGCTTTACAAAGAATCACAGCAGGACACAAAGAAGAGAAGCATGCTTTTCTTAGCTCCTTCCTAGAACTATTTTTCCCATTTGGGCTTCAATTTTCCCAGAAATATCAGTCTAACGCAGACTCAAACAATACCGTCGGGCCCCGCTGACTTTATCTGGCAAATTTATTTAAGACAAGGTCTTAAGAGTGGAAAGTATGAAGCAGCCTTGAACAGGGGCCTCCAGCCTCAGTCTACAAGCTAGGCCTCAAATTGGCCTCCAGGTCCTTGCTCTTTCTCCTACCATGCTCCAAGAAAAACATACTGGAAGTTCAACTTGCAGTTGGTATCTGTGTTACAGCAATCACAGGATTGAGCTTCACCAGTAGTTGAATGTCAGTCTCAATATACAAAGTGATCTTACTCTCCTTCACTTGGGCAGCACTGGCCATTTTTTTGTCGTATTGATTTCTTCTACAGCCCACTAAGCAGCAGCAAAGTTCTGGGTATGATTACTCCAGTGATCAAGGAACACCAACTTTAGTCTCCTATGTGATCTACTGATGTTTTTGTGCTTTAATAGCACCTTTTTTTCCCTTGACCTAAGTACAAAACTTGGCATTCATTTTGATTTCATATTTTGACCATCCTTTTATGTTTAAAAGCCTCAACTTCCAAACTACCACCAAATGCACATCTGTATGTATGTGAAATAGAACATCCATGCCACCAGAAATTTTTACATCAAATGTCAGTCTTTTATACAACTTCAATCTCTCCATGAACTAGAACACATGGACAAACTTCCACGTGCTCTGGGGATCTACCCTCCTTTACATACAGTGTCAGAGCTATTAATCCACAGCCAGTAAGCAAAAGACTCACTGATCCGAAAACGCTCAACTAACTGAAGAGGTTTAAGCGATTTCAAGCAGAATCACAGTTAAAGAGAACCGGATCTGCATTTGTGGGCAGAGACAGAGCTGCCGTATAGCCTGTGGCTACTAAAATAAGCACCCATGCAATAGCTGTTACTTGCAGGCATCTACTTCACTTTAGAACAGTAAAAAAGGAAATAAAACTATAATCCCATTAACATCCCTAAAATTCACAACAAAGGAACAAAAATCTGGGGGTATGTTCCTACTGTCAATCATTCATGCTACTTTAAACAAAATCAGTTACTAACGACAAAGTAAGTTTCAAGAACAGTCTGTTTATTTTCTTTGGCATCCAACTCAAAACAGCTGAAGAGACTTGCCTAACAAAGTTAGAAGAAATTACTTCTATTACAAAGCAAGTACGCCTTACCTCAAAGTGAAATTCTGCTTGTAATATTATATAACACTACCCACATCTCAACCTATAAAACATGAAACCATATAGACCAGTCTGTAAGAGAACTGTAGCACAAAGCTGGTGATAAACCTGTTCAGCTTGGTCCTTCCCAAATTTAACAGTTGCCCTGGAGAAAGGGAAAAACAAGTTCTCTCAAGATTTGCCACACTAAGAAGCCCTCCAACGCTCAATAGCTGTAGGCAGGACAGAGCAAGCCAATCAGATATAAAGCCTTTGATACTAATTAAGATGATCTCAACTACAAATAAAGACAGAGTATGTAGGTTGCTGGGCTGAGATACACAATCAAACTGGAGGTTGAAATTCGATATGGAATCCAAAACGCCTGCGTCAGTCCTTTGGAAAGCACAAGAGCTATTTGAAGATGTAATGCCAAAGCAAAAAGCCAACGCGATGTGATAACCGGAAGGTAAATTGACGTCAACTGGAAATATACCCAGTCAGTACCAGCACGGCCGCTGGCTCGATGCCATATACCTGGCAGATCTGTTCCAATTTGAACAGCTTTGGAAGTTAAAGCTTTTTGATCAACACAATTTGGGGGTAGGAGTGGTAGGAAGCCTCCCAGAAATTCTTAAATTATTTTAGACAACCACTGGAACTGAAGCTTTAATTCTGCAGAACGGTATTGCGTTGATCCAACAGACCAGCATGACAGACAGAAGCTATTGAATTTTGTTCAGATCAGGCGTTAGGCCTGCAGAGAAAGGATTCACAATATATTCACTCAGCTGGATTGAGCCACCTAAGCTCATACGCTATATCATTCAAGTGCAGAACACTAGTATGTTCTGTGAAAAGGGATAATTTTTTTGAATGTTTTATTTTATTTCTGCCTTGTATGATAGATGTACTATTTTTCCCAAAATCTCAGAGAAGTCAGTGAAGTCAGGTAAATTCTTCATTCTTACAAGGTGGACAAGTTAAATACTACACACTGAATTGGGACTATCAAAATGTAGACTATTAAAGAATTTCCTATGCCAGATGTGCACAGTGTGCAGCCCTTATGGCAGTTCCTTCAGTCTGTTTGTCACGGGAGGCAGCAAGAACCAAAAGGAGAGGAGCTTGCTCATCACACCACAGTTTATTTTCTCTTCACTCAAAAGGCACAGCCAGCCCTGAGATGCAAGATCTCTGTAGGAGCAGCTGGCCAAAGACACAGCATTCAGAAACATGATGGGGCTACCAGCACACAGATATGACAGAGAGAAAGGGAGAGCACTGAACACAGGACGTGGTCTTACAGGGCAGGGAAGGGGAGAAGAAGGGGAAAAGAGAGCATCAGAATGGTTATTGTATGTTATAGGTTATTACAGGTAGGAAGAGGAAAGTGCAACCACACTGCTAAGACAGGGTATAATTGGGCTGTGCCCCCTTGAAGCATGCTGCATGGGAGAAATCTCATTTTCCAGCTGAAGAAAAGGAAGATTATCTGTTATTTGTCTTCCCTATACTAGAAATGGCTAGAAAAGCTGTGAGAGTACTTCATATGGGACAATTTCAGTGACAAACCATCTAACAGAGAACTGACAGGCACAGAACTTAAATGTTTCATTGGACCAGGTATTTAGAAAAGGCTAACCAGAATTTATGACAAATGTGATCAGTTCCAATATCCTGATATTAGTAAATGTTTTTTCTTTATTTTGCTAACCCTACAAATCTAAACGGTGCATACGCAAGACAGGTACACCCCCCAAAAGCTTCTAGTGCCCGTATAATGATCTTTTCCTTATCTAAAGTAATGAGTTTAAACCAAGAGATTAACTGATTTAATGCAGAGACTCAGCATGGAGTAACAGTGCCCGTTCTCCTGTTGCAGTTTTATAAAAGGAGATGTCAAATCAATTCCAAAGTGATTAATGCAAGAAGAGAGTAACCACGGTCTCGTCTTCCTCATCTACCGGTCAGGAGCTGAACACTTGTATATCTAGCTGGCTGCCCCAAGTTCTACGTGGAAATTAATGGCAGAGTCAAATCAACCACCTTATCCAACACTTTTCACTATTTCTTTAATGCTTTTTGTGAAGTGACACGTATTGCGGTAACGGAATCAAAACAGGAAATGGGAACAAATTCCTGGAACAAATAAAAGAACATGCCTACTGGATAATATTCAAAAGGCAAAGGAAATAAGAATTTAAGGTTAGCGAGCAATGTACAATCTACTTCCAGAAATACTTATCATCTAGAGAAAAAACCTCTTCTCCTCCTCCAGAGCTATTTAATATTGACAAGCCAAAAGGCAGCATGAATAAGAGTTTCTATTGACTTTCTACCACACAACCAACTACAGACTCCTGACATTTCAGAGAGTTTACATTTCAATTAAAGCTCCCAAAATACACACCAGTACATTGGAATATAAACAAAGGCCTAGTCTTCACTATTATGAGTACAAAAGCTATTTTATCTGGAACTGTAGTTGTAAAAGGACTGTTTCTAAAGCAATATGATCTTTGGTGCAGAGAAATACATGATCTAGCAAAGTATCATGCACCCGTAGAGCTTTTTCAAACTGAATAAAAACAAGGTTTAAGAGGCTTAAAGTTTCCACATGAGAATACAGTTTACATTTCTTTAATTAAGACAAAGATAGTTCATCACTACCTCTTTTGTCTCCTCGGGGTCCGAGTGATCCACAGTTACGTACAAATCATTCTGCAGGTATTTCAGTGCATTAAGGGGGTCAGTCTGAGCTTTTTCTTCAAACCTGCAAAGAAGAGACAGAAAACCAAAAATGAGCGCAACCATTTTCTTCAGGACTAAGTACTATCATTTCTACAAAGAGCAAAACCTATCGAATTAAACTTTTGGCCAAATAGTTTCAAATAAAACCACGTTAACGGCAGCTTGGACTCCTATTTGCTGCAGCACATGCTTTCAAGCCAGAGCGAAACACGGAGGAGGGTTTTTTGGGCGTGTACGGGAGTTACATGGGCAAAGTATTACGCTCTTACTAAAAGTGTTCAAAAGCATATGTACAGCAGCTGCTTAATACATAAATGTAAAATACTTAGTACAGTTTTGGGGTTTTCCCCCCACAAATAAAGTAAGGTATGAGTGGCACCTCATGTGAAGGGCACAGTTCAGATACAGGCAAGGCCTTGAGCACTCCAGCCTCAGAGATATTTACATTCCTGACTGTGCAGAAGCATAACTGGAAGTACAGGGAGGAGAATGCTCCCTGCTTCTGCCAGACAACAGAAAAAGGGGACGATGGGAGTGAAAACCCCCCGATTCAATGAATACTACGCCTTAATATACCACTTTTGGAAAGAGCACATGTACGTAAAAGTCCTGTGCACCATCACCATTATTTTCTGATTTTCTTTTAATGACCAGAAACCGTAACTTCTGTGAATTCCCTGAAGTTAATATAGCCCTCAGAACAGAATTCTGAGCTCAGCATCCTCAGCGAGCAGAGCTACCTCCCTGCAGCACTGAGTGCATAAGCCTAGAAAGGATGAGATTTAAAATTATCTTTTTCTTTTTCCCCCCTATCACCTATCCACCAAGTGCAGCATCACACTGTCATCTTCTGCATCACCAATACTTGGTATTAAGCCTTCCCATGAAAACAGCTCAGACAATTCTGGATTGCAGAGATGAGGACCCTAAAAAACATGTTCTCAATTACTTAATTGCCTTGTTACCAACTGCTTTACAGGAACACAAGATATTTTACTCATATTTCAGTTTAACAGGGCATGGCTTGTCAAACTTAAAGAAGTCACATGGAACAGATTTAATCATTGTTATTATTTTTATTTGGGTCATCTACTTGGCTATTATACTATAGTGGACATCTGCAGCCCAAATTTTAAAATTGTCTATAGATGCAAGTTGTTCAGCCAGCACATGGAGCACAAAGACTATGTCTGTCACCTGATGTATAGGACATTTTGGTAATTAAGCACTATTTCTTTCAAACATTCCCACAGATTTTCTTAGATGGTATCACCACAGTCCAGAGAGCTGAACTACCTTCAATAAGTGGAACCATGAACACCTTGCTCTTCTACATCTGGCCAGCTTGGCTCCGCTATGGCTGGCTGGCACTAGCCAAGTTAATAGGCCCAACAGGACTCCAGCTGATGCAGTGGATTTGCTGTGTATGCAAGTCAAGTACCTGTTCTGGTACCTAGAGCTTGACGGCATGCAGATAATGGGCAGCCAAGTGACTCCACAGGAGTTCAGCTCTAGCCCCAAGAGGCACATGAACTCCAGCAAAGCACCCATCATACCAGCCCCTGGCTGGTCATGTTTGGCTCCCTCATATGGACTCAAATAAATGGGAGCATGGTGCATAAATCCCAAGCTTCTGCCAGACAATATGCAGCAACATCTCCGCTGAGTGCAATTTAAGCAAGTAAAACCAAGTAATCCAGAGCTGTCTCTGGAGGCTGTACAGCTGCACTTGCACACAACTGCATGTGGGTTTAGTAAGTCTCCTACACTACTGGGCAAGACCTTTATTCCCTCTTGTAGGTATTCACATCTACCACGTGGCTAATCTGCAAAAGGCCTCGTCCAGCTACAGTGATTGTCAGTTGAGCACAGCAATTTGCTTTCTGCCTCAGAAGTAAAATACCATCAGTAAAAACTGACCTCCAACTCTTGGCAGAACCTGATAACAAAGTATTCTCACCAAGAATGCAGAAAGAGCTATTTATTGGCTTCAGATAATTTGCTGGGTCTTGAAAGGCTGTCTCACTGCTCCCATTTCTTGCCTAAGAGTAGCACCGTAAGCTTGATTTTGAAGAGCTATTGCCCTAAATAGCAAATATAAGGGCAGCTCAGAAAAACCCAGAGCACAAGAAGCATCACAGTGTAGCTGAACTCTGCATAAGTGAGATCTTTCAAGTGATTCTGAATGACAAACTCTGATGACCTCACCACGGTTGAGTCTCAAAAGTGCAAAGGAATCCATCCTCCAGACTTCATTAGCATCCTTGCGAACTATTACTATCTCCTAGCACAGTGTTTCAGAAACAAACTCCATCTCCTTGGGAGGTGACAGTACCAAAACACATGTTGATGAACAGGGTGAAAAGGGAATCTAAAAATTCCCCATGACTCCCCACACAATAGCCAGATTCGTCTAGTTTTAGAATAACATAGTAAAACCAGAATGAAGTTAATTTTGTAGTTTGGCCCTGTCCCACTGCTTTTTATTATTAAAATAATTTTTTAAAAATTCAAAACAATCAAGAAACCTGCAGGCCATCATGCAATCAACAAAGTGACATTTCCCAACAAAGTTTACAAGATATTCAAGTTTTAGCAACTTCAAAAAAAAAAAAAAAGACACTTTGGAAGAGAAAATTGCAAAACATCTTTTGTTTCTATACCTGTGCTTTCTTATGAGGTATTTGCAGTGTCTCAGCAGGTATTCTTTTGAAGGTCGACAGAGTTTCAGAGACCAGAAATCGTCTAGTCTCATCTTTGGAGAGCAGGACTTGCCAGGATTCCCTCCAAACAAGTAATGAACCTAAGCAAATGAGAGGCAGATCAGAAAGTTGATTGTTTGTGTACATCTGTCAAACAAATACTATTTACTATGTCAGCATCTTTGGAGAGGTTTATTCTGTAGAGAGAAAGCTCTGCCTTTAGACAAGCTGCTCCATCTTATCAGCATTACTTTGTCCCCTAGAAGATGAAGGAAGTTCTCTTAAACTGCTTACATTTTAAGATAATAAAAAAACTGCACTGTTAGACCTCCGTCTAGCAGATTCCCAAGTTACTTAAACAAACATCGACAAACCATGCGATCTCTTTCTTTTGGGAAAACCCATGAGCATGCTAAATCCTTAAGCACATAAGGTATGAGCAGAAAAGAAGGATCTGAGCCAACTCTTGTTGCCGTGTTCAAAATATTTAATGCAGACAATGCTCAAACCGATGGATTACAAGCCTATTCTCCAATCTTGACCTTGAAGACTCCAAACCTCCTTGTCATGAGTGAGGCTAAATTAAAGCACCTGTATTAAACCCTTCTTGAATTTGGGGATAAGCAGATTACACCCATATAATTGAGATGACTCCAACAATCACCCATTTTCTTTGAAGAAACATACATGTAAGGAAGACTCAAAAAAAAAAAAAAAGGGGACTTGGCAGACTAATGCCCCTGCCTCAGTCAGAGCACTGTTGGTGAAGCTGCAGTACTAAAACACCACAATCCAGACAAGAAGCCTTTTCCTTGAGTCAGAGAAGACCATTGCCTTCCTGAAAGACCAGGGCCACTGGCAAAGTGAATGGGAAGTCCTAAAGATGCTCAAAGTGACAACAAGCCCAGTCCAGCAAAATCTCAGGAGATGACTAACAGGCCTGTGACCTCACATGTACCATAAACTCTACATGTTTAGTTTGACTTGCAGAGAAAAACATTTCCATGGTCTCTGGAAGGGCAGATTTGTCTCACCTCAATAGAGCAGCCTAGCTGCAAGACACTCAATATGCTGCCTGGGCGCAAAGGAAAGAGCTAACTGAATAAAGAGTAAAACAAAAAGCCAGAAGTGTAATCCTATGAAGAACTGTGGAAGAAAACACCGACTTTATTTACAATCAGAAGTCACAACCAGTACTAGGATTGTCTTCAAAAAAAGTTTTAGCAAACCTGAGATGCCAGTCATAGAAATACTAAATATACCTGTATGCAAAATTCCTATTTTTATTCAAGATAGCTCAAATGAAGTAGTCTCTAACAGCCATTCTGATAATTTCAGGATACAACACCTTTAAAATGCAAGGCTAGAGTTACAGATAGAGGCAAATCTCAAGAAAAGTGTAAGCGTTAGAAGACGACTGTTTATTTCTCCATTTCCTTTTCCTCTTCACATCATTTGGCATTTCAGGCTCTGAACTGCTGACATTAAACATGTCACAACGTCTTCAAATACTGAGGTTCAAGAAATCCAACAGGCTACCTTTCTCCACAGCTTTAAAAATAATCACTCAAAACAACGTATTCTGCATCCCACTGATGTAGGCTCTCCTTATTTATATCAGAGGAGTTTAGAAAGGTCATTTGAACAGAGGTTTCTAAAAATAAGACTCTTCAAAACAAGTACATCAAACAGCTCTTCAGATAAAGCTGGGCAACTGCCATGATTTAGCAACCTTCACCGCAACTTATAAAATACTACTCTCAATCTCATGGTACCTTACACTTAGAGCAAGCCACTAAAGGCAGAGTAGTATTTACTATCCAACATTAACGTCCGTGACAAAGATGAACCATACAAGGTCTCCATACGGAAGTTGCACCTATTCTTCCTTAAAACCCCCCTTACTCCCAAACTTGGGCTAGTGGGGTTTCCCAATTTTGATTAACATTCCATGAAATCATAAGACTAAAGTATATTTGTCGTCTTCTGATCAGACTCTTTCAGACTAAAAAAAATTAGAAGAAGTTTATTTTAATTGTAAAATATCCATGAAAGCTTAAGGAAGTGTGTCACAGTAATTTCAATTCATAGGTTAAGGAAATTATGGTAACCTAATCCATTGGTTTCTGCTTTATTGGTTAATATGCACAAAGCCCTAGGTTTACTGAGCAGTCATGTTCACTACAAACAATTTTAAGTACATTTAAGCATGAAGACATCCATTAAAGTCAGATAGTGCTAAAGAATGACAGTTGCTTCTGACATACAGTGCAAAGTAAGGCACCTCTGTTACAACCGATTCTTAACAGTGATTAGTTCATTCAAAACACACTTTCTCCTGGAAATGTTGGTAACTATCTGTGACCATTTAGAGGGATGAATGTGGCAGCTAAACTAAAACAAAAAAAAAAAAAAGGACTCCACAGTCACTAACAGGTTGTGAGATTAATTCCCTGAAGACAATGAATGAAGTTTCAGGTGTTCTCAAGTACAAAAAAGCCAGGAGCTAGCTGCTTGACAACTTTGTAGAGGTTTAGTATATCCCACTGTCTGCATTTCTATTTCATCTAGGAGCTGTCATGTCTACTTCACAATGACATAAAAAGTAGCTTAGCATCTCATTTCAGAAGATGACAGCAAGTTAAATGAAAGTTACCCACCACAGTAACACTACACAAAAAAAGCTATATTCATTCTACCATCTTTGAAGAAGCAACTACACCAGAAGAGCAGTAAGACTAAAAAAAAAAAAACACAAACAAACCACCACATGTGTCTGGACCCTCATACCTTGTGCAATTCATCATACACCAGTTGATGGGCAAACCTTGGGCAGGGCTCCTCTTCCTGAAGGCTTTTACCTGGATTTTCTTTTGCTGCTTGGTCATTCTTATAGACACAAGACCTGAAATACAAGGCAGTAAGTCATGATTAGTTGTACCTTCAGGAAGTAGAAAAAGTTACTGAAAGGCTCTAAGGCACAAATGATGTCAATTTGAACTGTTTGGCATATAACATCAAAGATTTTCTTACTTCCCTACATATTGTCCTCTATTATCCCATCCCCATTCTTCACTCTCCAAAGAAACCCATCCAACAATCAGAGAAGGTCATCTTGTCTGAACACAGTCCTCAATCACAAGCCAAACAGGAAAAAAATTCTAGAAAATTTTATGTCATGAGCTTTGGAGGAATCTGGATGGTATTTTGGTATTTGGTAATTATTTTATATATATATTTTGGAAGTATTTGGATATTGCATTATTTGCTAGCAGAATTATCAGCACAAAGTATTTTTCGTTATGGACAATACCATCTTAGACACAGTAAAGCTACAGGCCACAGACTATAGCAAAGCTACTATTTCAATCACTGATTTTCAAGCAGACTTAAGTTGTAACTTAAAATCCATTTTTAAAAAACAACATTCACACCTTTCGAAGTGATTGTCCCCACATTAGAAGAGACCTTGAATACAAAAACGCTGCCAGCTCTGGAAAAGGACAGTACAAATAGGGCCAATAGATAAGGAGATCATTTTCTCAGAATACTTGGTACCACTGCATGCAGCCTGGAAAGAGCTGATAGATCCATCATAAAGACTTCTCCATCACCATTCATAGAGCAGACCAGTTTCCTTAGTTTCTAATAACTAGTACCATGTACCCTGCTATTAACAACTTACCTTTGACCGAATTTGCTGCACTGATGCTGAATCCTGGCCTTGAACATTTCCTACAGGAAAAACCTCTTATAATGACTTACTTCCCCTCATTCCCTCCACCTGCCTCCAATAAAGAACTTCACACGATTTCTCTCCCTCATTTGGCTCATTGCCATGGTGTCTCTAAAGACTATGGGAAAAAGAGATGCCTCGAGGGAACTCCATGGTCTTCAACATTACCATTCTATGGTTATAAGAGGTTACAGAATTACCTGGGAGACTGGATCATGTAGGATTGCTTTCTAAAGAAAGTCAGTGTAGATGTTAGAAACAGCACCCCTTTCATCGACTTACCAGCTGTTCCTCACAATGTCATAAATCCAGAAGGAATTCCTTACATTCTCTTCCCGCTTCTCCTTGTCTTTACTGAGCCCTGACAAGACATGGATTTCATTCAGTTCAGGATCAATGGTAGCCCTTTGAGTGAAACCTGTCATTGGAACTGAAAAAAAAAGAAAGTTACACACTGAAAACAATAGATGATACAGGAAAGGATCCAAGCATCAGACAAATCCATTTCCCTCCCCCTGCAATTCATGCAATTCAGCACATTTTCTAATATCCATAGCACAAGCATGAGATTTCACATAAGCACCTCTTCATCATTCTGGGATAAAGAGTGTCTGAAGTTTAATGTCACTACCTAACTTGCTCATTTTCTTCCTTTTAATTACTTTCACCTCTTCATCTTTCATATAAAACCAAAACTTAAGACAGAGTGATCCCAAGCTGGTATTTTCTATGACCTCTCCTGCACAGCGATTTCATTATTTACCACAACTTAAAACTGAAATGGCACATCTCCATATAGGAGGCATGCAGGAGTCACCAAGCAAACAACTTGCTTCTGGCGCATGCCCTCCGAAGTGGGGTGAGAGGCAGGAGGAGAAGGAACATTCACCCAGAGGCTGACTCCTTCCCTGCTGAGCACAAGACCAATGCGTATTCTCTTATTCCCTTCCTATTTCTGACTCCTGGAAAGCACAAAAACCATTCTGAGAGCTGCTGCTTCCTAGGGAAAGGCATGGGTAGAGCTATTTGGGAGAATACCAGCTCAGAAATGAGGATTAAACTGCCTCAAGATAGATCTAGATGATCCTTGTAGATATGAGTGGAGTGATTTTGTTATTACCTCACCCGTAAAAGGAAGCATTGATTCCAGAAAGTTTAATTGCAAAAGCTAGGAAACTCAAAAAAAAATTCAAGAGGAACTCAAGATTACATAGCTCACAACCTTGCATTGCTTCTTTTAGGACGAAGATGTGAAGGAAGTTTTTTTTTTTTTTTAAATGGTTATGGTATAATTACCCAGTTGTTCTTCTGTTCCACCTTCAGACTTAGAAATATGGTGAAATACTGAGGATTCCAGCAGTTTTCATCATAATTCCCCGAAAAAAGGTCAGCAAATTTGTTTGGCAGTCCTTTTTGTTTGTTGTATAATTCCCCATTTCCTGTTTCCCCAGGCAACCATCCTTCCAAAATGTATTTGTGAAGAGCACGTGATTTTTGTTTACAGATCCTGTTTGTCTCATTTCTCTTTCTGGGTCAGTTTACAAAGGCTGGTAAAGGTTCCTGGCCTTCGATCAAGATTTTGGCATGAAAAATTCTCAGAACTCTTGTATTTTGCAAATTCTTCCCCGCAATTAACTATGAACTCCACATACAGCCTAAAAACCAAGCCCGATGCTAATGAAGTATTTAATATTGCTGTTTAAGAACACACAAAATGGTATTTTGCAAGCCCGTTCTGTAACAGGCTTTGGTCTCATACGTCAATCTTCTCATTTGGTAGGCCAGGAAAGTAACAGCCATCAACTAAAAAATTCTGAGCAGCATTTGGTTACTATAGTTTAAACCCCTACCAAAATGTTTCGCAAAGCTAAAAACCCCCCAAACATTTCAACAAAAATGCTTAATTCTTACATATACTTAAGTAGAAACTGAGATACATTCAGACAATTAATTCTCAGGGTCCTGTCGACAAAAATCCTTGCTTATGGTTTTACAGAAGAGCAGGAGGGAGAGCCTTTGGAGCACTCATTGGCATAAGCCTGCCTATTTTGACCTCCAATTTTGCCACAAAGTTTCAAAGGAAAATTAATCCAGTTTATAAACAAATGGGTGGCAGAGCAGGGGAAAAAATGCAGGGAACAATGCTGGCACAAGAAGAACTACATACCTTGCTTTAGCTGCAAACCACAAGGAAGTTTTTAAATAAGACTAATGAGTACTGTGAAAGTCACCCAATAAGGAAATTGAGAACAACAGGACAATTATAGACTAAATATCATTAATTTTTGAAAACAATCATGTAATGTGTTTGCTTGCATAGTCAGGGACTAAATCATTGACTCAAAAGGATTAAATTCAAGGCATATTTGAGACATTTCTGGCAGGAGAGCCATCTAAATTTGATCAGCAATGCTAATGTACATGGAAAATGTCTTTGCAACCCTATCTGCTGCTTTGAACATTTGAGACCATGCCGGGTTTTTAGAAAAAAAAGCATGCAAATCTTCAGAGCATTAATACCTCAGGCTCATTGAAATGAAAATTATTATAATCATGAGGAATACAGTTGCTATATTACCACTGATACAGAAAGCATACGAAACTTGTCTATGGAAGTCCCATCCTTTCTCCTGAAATGTTGTTAAATATACGAATTTTGGTATCTACTTTATGCTTGATTTCCTGAAGCTGAAATTGTTATTTAAATAATGAAGGAAGGAAAAGCTGCCAAAGTTCAGTGCCTCTGGTTTTTTTACTCTTGATAGTAAGAATAGGATTGATCCGCAGCAACTGCAATCAAAACCAAATTCAAGTCAAGTCATTTCAGGCTTCCCTCATTTGTACATCAATCTCTTCTGCTTGAAACACAGAATGTCTAGAAAAATAATATATCAAAAAATATATACCCCTACATTTAGTAAGGGTCTAAGATGAAGAGCAACTTACATAAACTCTTTGACCTATCTAAGCAACAGTGTAGAAACCGCATTTAAGTAGTGCCTTAGGCTAGACAAAGCTGACATCTAGTCTGTTGCAGAAGTAGACCTAACCAGAAAGTTAGATGTTACATGATTAAAAAAAAACCCACAAGACAACAGAAATTTGGTAAACAAGTCCCTGAAAATAAACAGGGCAAGCTACTACACAAGAAAAGGGAGATGCTGTGATATTTTAAACACAACAGAAATGTCAAAAATATGTACAGATGACAGAGGAGAACGGCTACAGAAAATCCTCATGACTGACAAACACTTCCACTAGGGGGTAAGAGAGCTTCATAATCTGCAAGAGCAGTGGACTTGCAGTAAATGCTGGCTATAATTCAAATGACTGTGGTCAGCATATTAGAAAGGGACACGGGCTGTAAACTTGGGAAAAGTACTTGCAATATTTAGTTAACAAAATGTACATTGGGAAGGAAATTTAATTCTGCTGGGAGACAAAATTGAACCTGTGACTGTAACTGATTCCTTAGCATGTATTTTTAAAAAATTTTAATACTCAGCGTAAAAAGTCGTAAGGAACAAGGGATGAGAATTAGACATGGTAATGCCAGTGCACTGCAAGAACTACTATTTGCAACGTACTAGATCCAAGGGGCACATAAAGTGCTAAGAATGGCTCCATGGAAGTTCCCTTGCTCTTCTGCTTCTTCACATAAATGTAGATGTAAATCAGCTTTGGAGCAAATCTCTACCGATTTCCCACGATTCAGAGTGCCTCTCGGGCCCTGCTATCACTCAGGTCAGCTGTGGGCAGACAGCTCAAAGGACATAAAGCAGCGACTGAGGACTTAGCGCTGGTTGTTTTGAACACGCCACTGGCCTGTCGCTATGCGATATTAACTTGGCTCCTCTGACAAGATGTTACTGATTGAAGAGGAAAAGCCATAGAGAGACATTACTAAACACAATACAATCCCAAAAAGTCCAGTAGATGGTGAATGCTTTTTTCCCCCCCCCCCCCCCCCCCCATAATCTCCTTAACCAGTCAGGGTAGAAGGACAGTAACTAACTGAAAATGAGAGGCCTGAATCCTTTCTACAGAACTTAAAATTTTCATTTGTTTTTATATAGCAAAAATGAAAAGCTCATGGCCTCAATATTTTAAAACAATATTGAGCCACACAGGCCTTGAGTTAGCAGCCAGTTACACAAACAAGTAGTAATTCCTGAGAAAGCTTTGATAAGATGTTGTATAACCTTGTACAACATAATTTCCATTCTAATGTAACACGTGGGAAAAGGTTTTCTACAAAAGTGACACCTAATCATGCAAGAGATTTGTTCCCACTACCACAGTCCCTGCTTAGAGGCATTTATTTGATCATAGTGATCATTTCAGCAAGCTGACTATTTTTTGGCTTGCATGTGCAAACCGCTACAGTTGTTTCAAGCACAATGTTGGCTGCTGCCAGTATCTAAGCAAGAAAACACAGCTTTTACAACACAGAGGCAGAGTTTGCAAAGCAGTAAATCTGAGTTCACACAGATGTAGCTCTCAGTACTAGACAGAAGTTTGGAATTTAAATCTCATCTCCCTCATTTGACAGGATACTATAGCATGTTTTTAAACATGCTTTGAAACACAGCATTGGCAAAACAATGACATAAAACTTGTAGTCTACAGACCACTTCTGAAGGATTCATGAAGGATAATTAAGTGAAGCAAGTTCATTGACAGGCTTTTAGTGCCACCTAAGTTACAAAACCCTCAGAAGATGTTACTGCTAACTCCACAAGTGACTTGCAAGAATCCTCCCTCCTTGTGATGCCTCGTGATTAAAAAACAAGAGTAAGCTACATCACATGGATATTGCTGTTCACCAGAACCTGGCACCTGCCAGAGATATTAATTTAAAAAGAAGTGGTAGGTTGGCAAATTAGTCCATACCACTACTTGTAATCCATATAAAACTGAAGGAGCACCTCCCCTGAACTTCAATGGAGCAAACCTTGATGAGTGATAGAGATAGCATACAGGCCAGCTGTTGACACAGCAAGATAATGATTATCCTCTTGGGTTTTTCATGGTGAGACTGCATTTGGCAGCCAGCCAAGGAGCAGCTAAGGAGACCATTTCAATAGTTTGGTTGTCATGTTGAAAAAGAAACAACCCAGTGTCCAGCACTCAGTTCTCTCCCAAGCAACGTGAGATTTTGAAAAAAAAAAAACAGGTCAGTTAGTAAATCTGAATGGAATCCTGCTGCTATGCCGTCTCGGTAAAGCATCCTTTGGATTTTGTGACTACCTGCTCTACTCCTCATCTTCACAGTCAGAGGTAAGTATTTTGAGGTTGGTTCAGAGAAGCACCTCACAAGATGAAGAGCACATATGGTCCCTCAGAAAGCAAAGTGCTTCCATGGCAAGAGACACACTGGCCACTGTCAAGGTAGACCTTAAACTGAACAAGGGAAAAACATGTCAGGTGTCACAAACAATCAGAATGGGTTATTCAGACTGCTTTTCTGAGCTGGATCCTGGCCATGGTGAGCTAGCTGTGCTTTCTATTTTGATTAATGTTTTTCTGACATCGTCTTTTTTTAAAATCAGGATTTCCTGGACTGGGCTGTGTTGCCTCTGTCCGTGGTACTTATCCATGAAGCTTCCCGTCTGTCAGGTGCACAGTTCCGTGTCTGGAATGAGCACTTGCCCCAGCAAGACACCTGGGAACTTCACTGGTAGCTACACAAATATTTGCAGTTTGCCCATAAGAACTACTTCACCATTAAAAGGAGCGACAAGAATGTTTAGGGCTTGTTCTCATTTGACTTTGGAAGTTACTCGATGCCAAGGGATAGAAGATGATCTTGATTGTCCTGCAGAAGGAAATTCTCCCTCTAGCCAACAGCTCTGACACACCACCTGAGTCAGGGCCAAACAGGATTATCACAGGAACCTTGACCACAAGTGTTCCCATTAGCTCCCTTAGACCTGAAATGACTGCCCTGATTAGTCATGGATTGCGTGCTAAGCAACTCAGACAAGCTGTCAGTGCAGCCTTGTGAAGACATCTGATACTGGTGGCATCTCTAGACCACGTGTACGCTTCAGAGATACACTCTGGCATGTGGATGTTGGGTTGAGGGGTTTTGGGGTTTTTTTTCCAGTTGTGTTGGGTTTTTTTTGAAAGTAGTTTAAAGAATATGTCTGCTCTAAAAGGGTTTGTCCATCAACAATACACATTTCTGCCTCTCCTCCAACTATAGGCTTCACCTGTACTATACATCCACCAGTTTGTACCACTACTGCCTTCCTTCATATCCAACTCATTATCACAGTCGCATTTTCTTCTCCTCAGTCTCATTTTGTCCATCCTCTAGCTGACCTAACTAATTTCTTGCTCCTAACAGTTATCATGCCACAGAAAGACAACCATCCCTAATAGCCTAATTTTACTCTAGTGCTGTCCTTTGACAGCAAAGAGAAAGGACCAGGTTTTTTTGATGCAATGAGTTGGAGAAAGCACCCATGCTCACTGGTAAATGGCATTTGCCAGACACAAAGAGCTGCCAGGCTTACCTATGTTTCAAAGCAGATTGAGTCAAGAGGCATATTTAGTAGGCAAAGCTGTGTGCAAAATCACCTTTTAGAAATTGTACCTTGATGAAATTTGAACTTTTCCCAGGAATGAAAAAAGCACATCTAAACTTGCTAAAATTATTGTCCTTTACTCACAATTAAGAAAATTTAAGTGATATTTATCACTTAATACTCTCTCAAAAGCATCACCTATACAAGGAACTGGTTCCCAGGATCAACATCAAAAGGACAACTGAGAGTGAAGAGACACCTAAACAGCATAAAAATCTCATCCAGAAGATGACAGCAGCAAAACCAACATATCATTACCATACTTTTCTAGCATTGCAACAACTCCATATTACTGATATTCCTTAACTATCTGTTTTACTACTTTTTTTTAAAAGCTGCTCACTATTCTAACGGAAATTTTAAACAACTGCACAATTAGGTTCTTTTACAAAAAGTAGAATCAAAACAGCTTAACTAAGAATAAGACTGAATGCCACATGCAAGCCAGGAACAAAATGTAATCATGGGACTTTATAGGAACATTTAGGTCAGGCATCCTCAACTTGACTCATCACACCCAGCAGCTTAAACTTCACCACGACCAGTCAGGGAATCACTTTGTTCCTGCACATCAAAATGGTGCATCACTACCTACACAAGAGTACAATAAAGACTTGCTTTTTTGGGTGAAAACACTGCTGACAGAGTTTGCTGTCTGAATTTAACAAGCATTTTGTTCTCTTCCTGTTAAAATGCAAATAATCCTAGTATTTTCTTTCAAAAAGCAAGGGAAATGTTCAAATCTGTTTGTTTACTTTCTACACACAGGAGAACAGTAAACTGAAAATCTACTCATGAATTATTTCCAATGAGTCATTTTCTTACAAAGTCTACTATTCACCACTTTGGGGCCTGTGGGAATGGGGAGGAGGGCTAAATATTATACAGTCTCATTCGCTTTACTGAACCTTGCAGTTAATGTACCAGATGAGAAGCAAACCTCAGTGTTTTCTCTATTTAAAGATAGCTTGCTATCTTTAAACCTGAAGTAGACACAGGTGTATGCTTAAGGCCACATGTTTTAAAGCTTCTGGCTATAAAGAAAAGTAGTTTTAAAAAAAGCAAAATGGCAGAATGCTAGCAGTTTCATGGAAGAAAAAAAAATCAATTCTTTAAAAGCTCCTAAGAACAACAAACAGTGCGTGGGTGTGTGTAGAGCAACATCAGGCAACATACAGGCACCTTAATAAAGGAGACTGTCAACCATACGAGCTGGTTCTTTCTTGGAAGCACACTAGTAAATAAATGACTCCAGAGAATAAGAGCTTGGGTACTCTTCTACCTCACTGGCATGACTAAGTTAATGAGCAAACAATAACTCATAATCATCAATAATTCACTTCAGAAGTTCAGCAAAATTACTTGCTAAAAATTAGGCCGGATCAAAATCAGGAAGACAGCCTGAATTCAAGATACATCAGCTTTCCAGGATTTTGATAACTGGAAGAAGAGTAAACAAGATCGGGACTCAATATACATAGTACGAGAAATATTCATAACTTTTGTCCCATAGCAATACAGAGTGCAACACAGATTTTGACTTCCGAGCTGTTATGCTGAAAATGAGGATATTTTCAACAGGAAACTGACGTGCTTATACATGCAGAAATCCTTTTTGGAAAAAAAGAATATTCTTCTCTCTCATTTGAGAAAAAAAATGTATAAAATCACTTGATTATGGTCATGTTACAATGCCTTTTGGGTGGTTTTAAAGCTTTCTGGTATAGAGAACTATGCCTAGTGTTTATAGCTCCAGTGGTATGAGCCAAACAGGACTGAAACCTTGCTCCCTCCTACCTTTTTTTGCCATTCCCTGATAATTTAGTACAAAGACAACAGGTCTCATCTTTCTAGTCAGCTCCTGTGAGGCAAAATAACCTCTGCCCTATGCTCCACTTCTCTGTCTCTGAGCATCCTACCTGCCTTTCTGCACCTCAAACCAAGCAGATCATTTCTATTTTATCACATCTTTCACTTGGTGAAAGCTAGAAAAAACACTGCTTTCTCCTTTCCTTAAAGAAATTTTCTTTTTCAGTCTTTTTTTTTTTTTTTGTCTTTGCTGGAGTGTCAAAGGAGATATTTTTAGGTCTTATTTTGCTGAAATACTTTTCTTTAGAGGTGCTATGTGGTTTCACACATAAATTATTTGTATTATGCTGAAGACTGAGAGTGTCAAATGACAGGCAGGACAAAAGAGCTGGCATAAGTTTAACCTATATACCGTGGAGCTTACTTGGGCACATAGGGCTAGCTAGGGATGCTAACCTGATACCACAGGACACTGAAGCTGGCCTTTCACCTACTGAACAATGTACTTCTCCTTTGTACCAACGGGAAGAAATTAGTATGTAGATATACTCTTACCCATCCCTGAATCTTTCTTAGTGCCGTCTGATATGATATCCACATGATCGCTGTCTACATCATAACTGAAGAAGTCATTCAAATAAGTCTTCGACCTCTGGCCACCAAACACATATAAACAGCGATTTTTCTACAATGGAAAAAAAATGTATGTCTTCACAAAGCTCAAGAAAGTATGTTGGACAACTGTGACCATTAACAGAAACATTAATGAATCAAACAGTAACAGATATGTTTCCTGTAAGTTTAAAATCATGCCTTAACTATCAGGTCCACCAGTCTTAATTCAGTAAGTATCTTTTACTGTCAGCTCCACAAAGATTCACAGGGAACAATTATGCAGAACAGTTTATTATTCTCAAACTCAATAAAAAACTTAAGAATTCTTGACTGTATACTTGATTTTCTTGATTCTTGAATTTATGATTTCTCAGTTTCAAGAGCTAAACAGTTAAGGGCTCACAGCTTCTCCAACCCAAAACAACGCTCTTCTTACAAACACAATTTTAAATACGACTTCTTCATGATACAAGACCACAAACCTGGATCCAGCAGTTTCAGTTCCAGAGTGATTAGGCAGATTTTACATAGTTAACATACGTAACTATTGTTAACTATTGTTAACTCTGCCTGATCAAGCCATAACTTCAGAACATTAAAACAGCAATACATTTTTCAAGTTTACTAATAAAGAATTAACAATCTCCACATCTAAAAGCCATTAGATCATAACTTAGCTGTTAAAAAAAAAAAAAAAAAAAACAAACAAACCACCGGAAACAAAAGACGGACTGTAAGAGAAACTATCCAGGTACCAGCACATTACTAAACTCAGAACAGGCAATTAGCAAGCAGCAAGCCAAGAATAACAGGTTTATTACTTCTTTCAAGTTTGCCAAGTGGAAAGTCCATAAGAGGCAGATTATTTTTCTTTCAAATGGCTAAGAAAACACCAGAGGACCTAAACTTCCATGACCTGTGCTTACAGAAACCTGTATTCTTATGTTTACCATGGACATATACTTTAGAAATTCCTCTGGTACCTGTGTGGAATTGTGTAGCAATATGTTTTTGATGAGATTTTAGAAAGACATTCAAAACAAAAATTAAATTGAAAGCTCTGAAAGCACAGTACTCACTATAAAAGTTCCCATGTTTCATTTGAAAGG